TAGGATGTAAAATATCTTAGGATGTAAGAATTCAAATGCACATCTAACATAAGCTGCAAAAAATAAGGCAATAAATTATTAAATCTACAAGTTTCATTAAAATTTATGATCAACAAATTTACACAAGGCTTCGAAATTCTTGCACTTCTTGAAAATCATATTATAACAAGTTTCATTAAAATTATTCACAATCTCAAACAACTAACAAAATACAGAAAAATAATGAACAAGGAAAACAATTCATCAAAAAGCAAGGCGCATGCTTGTATAAGGAGATAACATTCTTTAAAACTCTCCAAATCATTCTCTTGATAAAAACATTGAATATCCAAAGTAGAAAGAATAGCACATCAAACTAAAAATTTTATTCAAATACCAATTATATTTTGAATATGCCTCAGACTTATAATTATAATAATAAAGTGATATATTGAAAACCACTAGATAGAAGTCTTAGGACGATAAAAAACCGAACAAAAAGTCCTATGTATCAGGCAAAAGCCACAAGGCAAATTGCAAGAGATTAGTGAATAGAGCCCTTAGAGGCAGGCCATACCTGTTAGAAAGGGAATAGCAAAAGACTCAAACAGAGAGCCTGTGGAATAGGAACGGATGATGCTAGGAGGAAGCTGTTGGAGAAACATCTGCATCATATTATGCTTCAGAATTTAGATTTATAGTGAAGCCAACAACATGTTGCCTTTTTCCCTCTTCAACTGGAATTGTAGTGAAGCCAAATAGTTTTATCCATATTAAATCAGGATACTTTCTTGAGATGATCCAAAACTAAATGATGACTTGATCCTTTCACATGCTTACATAGTTACAGGTTGAGTATTTGATGTGAACCAACATTGTAATTAATTAGTAATCGTTGATTAAATAGTAAAAACTAATTAATTTAATGTCTTGTAAGCCTATAACTACGCCAATTAGGGAGTATAAGGCATGTAAATGATAAACAAAAATCCTCTCTTCCCTCTTTTTTTTTTCTCTTTTTTCTTTCTTTTGGAAGATTGAGAAAGCTTGAATTGCTCAGTTAGGATCTAGGATTTCATCATTGCTGCTTCCGCTACACCATCTCCTAAGAGTAATTGGTGTTCCACCATTTCCTCCGCCAATTCCTATCACTGTCATCTATCCTATCAAAGAAAGCAATTCACTACGTAATCATAGTCGAATTCGTGAAAATTCAGCATCATCAATTCTGACAAAAATCTAGCGCCTTTCAGGGGTATTGTTTCATTTCATGGCATATCCTACCAAGAAACAGTTATGCCGGTCCAGGCTGGACCGGCTCAACCTGGACCGGCCCAGCCGGTCCGGGTTTACTCGCGGCGGAAGCGACACAGGAAACAGGCGGAAGGGAGAAGTGGGGTTGGGGTGGGGTCCACTTGCATTTCAAACATGGTTTAAGTGTTTTTGGAGGGAGAATGAAGGGTAGAGAAGTCCTTTTGCTTTTAATTTGAATTAGATTGTATTAATAGGGAGTTATGAGGGGATTAGGTTTTCATCTTGATTTTGAAAAGAGTTTTGTATTCTAGGGTTTCTTGCTTGGGCTCTTGGCGTTGCCAGAGATTGTTGGAGAGTTGTTCTTCCTCTCGAATTGAAGAACATTGTATCTTGCTTTGGTTTTGATCATCTACTAAGGGAATACAATTGTTTTCCAACGTTTTCTCCCTATTCTCTCAGTTTTTCTACTGTTTGGTGGCTGTTTTCTATTGAAAACAGTGGTTTGGCAAGAATCCGATAGGAATCACTTGGAATATTCAAGTGGAACCTATCAAATTGGTATCAGAGCGAAGATCCGGACGGTGGGGGGCTGTTTTCCACTGTTTCGCTGCAGATTTTTGCTTTTCGGAAGAGATCCGGAGACCATTTCGTGGTTCCCATGGCATCTAAACGTGTAGAAGTCTTGGAGACCGAAGTGGGTCAATTTAAGGCGGATCTGGAGGAGAAGATGACCACATTTAGCGAGAATGTGGAAGGGAAATTCATGGCTTTGGAGAAGATGATGAAGAAGTTGTTGGAAGGGCAAGCAAGGGTTGTGCCAGTGGAGGAAAGAGGAGAAGGTAGTGGGAGCAAGGGTAAGGAGAAGCGCTGGACCGGCCCAGCCGGTCCGGGTTTACTCGCGGCGGAAGCGGCACAGGAAACAGGCGGAAGGGAGAAGTGGGGTTGGGGTGGGGTCCACTTGCATTTCAAACATGGTTTAAGTGTTTTTGGAGGGAGAAGGAAGGGTAGAGAAGTCCTTTTGCTTTTAATTTGAATTAGATTGTACTAATAGGGAGTTATGGGGGGATTAGGTTATGATCTTGATTTTGAAAAGAGTTTTGTGTTCTAGGTTTTCTTGCTTGGGCTCTTGGCGTTGCCGGAGATTGTTGGAGAGTTGTTCTTCCTCTCGAATTGAAGAACATTGTATCTTGCTTTGGTTTTGATCATCTACTAAGGGAATACAATTGTTTTCTATTGTTTTCCAATGTTTTCTCCCTATTCTCTCAGTTTTTCTACTGTTTGGTGGCTGTTTTCTATTGAAAACAGTGGAATAATTGTGTTTTGGCAAGAATCCGATAGGAATTACTTGGAATATTCAAGTGGAACCTATCAGAAACAGCCTAGATCTCTGTGCCCATCCGCCTTCATGTTTCCATTATGGGCAAGTCAAAACCACCATTCGACATCATGCAATAAATTGCATCAGATCCTCACCAAAACTGCCCAAATATGTGTTCTTCCTGATTCCACTGACAGCCTTGCCCAATTTGTAGAAATCCCAAGGTCACTACAATGGGATCCAAGCTATTTCATCCCAGTTGGCTCAAAACCCATTCCCCCATAGCTTCCCAAAAACCAATGATCCCATGATCCTGTCAATTCCATCGTGAATAGCATCACCCTTAATACATCCACCATTCAAGCAAGCTCACCCAACTTTGCTGTTGGTTTATCGTTGCCAAGATCCGATGAATGCCTTCATCCATAGCACATGCTAATTGCATCTCACGTCTTAGCTCAAACTGAGCTAAAATCTGAGTCCCACAATTGAACTCACCAAATTTTTATTTGAATTATCTCTTGAGCTAGCATCCCCCATCCAAATCCAAAGCTTCTCCTCCAACGGCCAAATTCTTCATCAACATATCATCCAAACAGTGGTGAAATTGATTTGTCCGCAGAGTAATCACTTCAGGTTTAATTTCTTTATCATTTTTCATAGATATTGTTTTTTTTTTCCTTTGATCATAGAAGACGAGATATCAAATTTATCAATACAACATGTGAATTTATGAAAAAAAATCAACATAAGAAAAAAGTAACTCTCAGCGCTCATGATGAAAGTGCAATACAACCCTCAATGTCTAGTTCGTATGGAAAACAAAATAGAACAACAATTACATCGAAAATTGATGAGCGAAGAAATTCTAAAATGCGATTCAATAATTATTATAGAGATTCCATATGAATGACTTCTAAAGGTTGATCGCTTATTTTATTTCAATAATCTATATGGTATGCAGCGCTTTACAATTGCCTCAGTGTATATGGATGGTCGGTCCAGCATGGCATTACTATCACTGGATTTCTCAAAACAAACTGTTGAGTTCTTGGAATTCTTTCAAGCAAAGTATTCTTTAATGTTTAGGCCCTCCTCATGAGCTCATTGACCCTATTTTTTAGACCAACTATTTTAAAATGTGAACCATAGCAAAGCAAGTTCGCTAGCAGATGAGATTACATAGGAATCAAACAAGCAAATAGCTGTAGCTGAAGCAATACAACCACTACACAAGCAAATCCACAAGAAAAGTAGGTAGACGGATGGCCATTACATTCATGAGCATTAACAGATCAACTCAAGAAATTCCTTAAGTGCCCAATGGTCAATATTTTCTTTTGCAACTTCTTTGTTGATCCAATGTAGGACCTACTTGAAAGATTGTGGCTGAATGGATAGCCAACTCCAGTATATTAACTAGGAAGTTATATATTGAAAATAAGAACGTTTTGACGGGGAGGAATGATGTGAACCCTAATTGTAAGTAGCAGTAATAGTGAAGTAAGTTTGCTAGCTGATGATATTATAGAGGGAGCAGATGTGCAAACGATTAAAGCAATAAGGCCAGTGCACAAGACTAAACCACAGAAAGATTAGATGTACAAACAGCCATTACATTCATGGGCACCAAGGGATGAACTCAAGAAATTCCTTTATGTGCTTAGTGGACAGTCTTTTCTTTTGCAAGTTCTTTGTTGATCCATTGCAGAAGAAAGACCTGCTTGAGAGATTATGGTTAAATAGATAGCCACGTCCAATCGATCAACTGGGAAGTCTGACCTTGAAAATAAGAATATTATGAGAGCGAGAGTAATGATGTGAACCAAACTTGTAATAAGTTAGTAGTATTAGTAAAAAATAATTATTCTAATGTCTTGTATGTTTATAAATAACCTAATTGGGGAGTATGAGGCACTGAAAATGATAAATAAAAATATCCACTTCTATTTTTCTGTGTTTTTTCTTTTGGGAGCTTGGGCATGCTCGAATTGCTCACTTAGGATCAAGGAGCCTATAAATTTTTATGTGCAAGTGTATATGGTGAGTGAGTGAGGGGTAGAGAAAGACATGGGGTCTTCATACATAATCACAACCTTGCAAATCCATCAAGTCAAAACTTGGCTTAAGAGTGTGATAGCTACTAACCGACCAAGGTAGAAGTGGATGAACCCATCAAGTGGTTTAGTGAGAAACTATTTTTATCAGCATGCTAGAAGTTGAGAAAGACATACAAGAATCAATGGAAATTTGCCTTTTGTTGTCAGAGGAAGCTAAAAACCTTACCTGAATACACAAAAAACTATATATTCCTTCCACAAACAACTTTAACAAACCTTTGCAATAGACTGAGAACTTTGAGCATGAGAAATATAACACGAGTTTTGCATATTGGAATTGAAATTGGAAGTAAACTTATGCACGGGAGGATATGTTTAGTCAAGCACACCTCCAATGTGACTTCATGATCCTGAAGACGTGGCCTAAGTCCAATATAATCCATTGGCGGATCAGTCTGCAGTGGCACAAGTCTTTCATCCCAAGATACAAAATACAAGTCACCATCTAAATCTCCACCAGAGCACTCATTTGGATGTGGCCTACACAAATAAATATCCAACATTGTAAAGAGGTCATAAAATATATTTACAGGGTATCTTAAATTTTCTTTAAATAGAAATGACTCCTAGCATACAAAAGCTTGCGAATGACATGCCTTGGGCTTCAAAATTATATGAAAGAGATGACATCTTGTAGACCCCAACTATGTGTGCATGATAAGCATTGATTAGAAGAAAATGCCATGAAGCTCGTGGCTGCCACTCAGAACAGTTTTGTCCGCAAAGTTTATAAATCAATAAAAAGCTCTCCTACATAAATAGTGGAAATTAATTCCTTATCAAATGTAAAATATGTCGAGATACTCTTCTCACTAGGCATGATTTTAAAGTCAAAGCCAACTATATGGAGTTGTTTCATGTATTTTTCATACATTCCTAAAACTCTACTTAACATCTATAAGTATTGTGCAACCTTATGTCACCTGCCTAAACATCAACGAATTTATTAACTAGCACCTCTAAGAATTATACAAAGATACAGTTGCATGATGTTGCAAGAAAGCCAAGAATCATTCATTATTCTTCTTCATTTAGCTACATCTATACTACTATTATTAAAGAGGCTTGCATTTCTTTCCATATGAAATTCTAGCCCTTCATTCAATCTCCTAATAATAAATCCTAGCCTTTCATTATTATTGTTTTTATATAATAAATTTTAAATGACCCATTGATGTTCACATTTTTTTGCATAAAATTTATATATTAGAATTCTAAAAGTTAGAATTCAATCAATAAAGTAGCATGCATAAATGAAATAACTAAGAGCCATAAGAATATCAATGGTTAATCCAGATTTAAATTTTGACCAATGAATAATTTGATCATAAATTGTCATTAATGTTGCATTATATCTAAAAATCACCATACATCCACATATACCCAAAGGATCATTTTAGAATTATACATCAAGCTGTTCGAGCTTTAAAATTCTTCAAACAATTATTTTTATTATTCAATTTAGTTTTATTTATGATTTTATTTCCTTAGATCTATCTTTTCAAATTTTTATATTCTTCTAATATCTAATCTTATTGACGTTCATGTTATATAACTTTCAGGCTCTTAATAGCTTTACTACAACACTTTGGGAGTTCCTGGAACTTTCGGTACTTGCTAATGTAGTCACATTCCTCTTCTTGTCCATGAGAAAAACGACTGGACTCGGAGGGATTGACGGGCTTTTTCCTTACATATCTTATGCGAGGAGGATAGTTTGGGTGGCTATCATCTGAGAACGATGCAATTTATTTATAGATTAATTTGAAGGAGTGCAGTGGCCATCTACTGCTGAATTAGTATTTAGTATTCGAGTTAATTATTTTAGGATGGTTTAGGGTTCCTCTTCATAATCGTTTTTTTTTTTTTGGCTTATCTATTTTTATTTGCAACGAACTCCCATGACTCTCTTCAAGCATCGACTTGTCCAAGCATTTTGACTACTTTAACTCATGGAGTGTATTGAACGTCAGCTGTTGAATTAATATTTAATATTCTATATTTTTTATCTTTCAATATTCATATTTAATCTCTTAATATTAAACCATAACTTTTTTATTTTTGTTATTTTTATTTTATAATCTATAAAATTTATATTATTCTTAAATGGGCATGCATTTCTTTCCATATGAAATCCAAGCCCTTTTATTTAATCTCCTAATGATAAATTTTAGACTTTCATTCATTATTGTATTTATACAATAAATTTTAAACGGCCCATTAAAATTCATGTTTTTCTAAGCATAAAATTTATATGTTAGAAATTTAGGAGCTACAATTTAATCTATAAATTTGCATGCATAGATGAAAAATACAAAGAGTCATAAATATATAAATGGTTAATCCTGATATTGAATTATCATCATTGAATAATTTGATAACTCATTTAATATTTCATCTAAAAATCTCCTTGGACCCTATATATACCCAAATGATTATTTTAGAATTATAAGCTAAGCTATTTGATCTTTAAAACCCATCTCAAATTTATTATCTAATTTATTTTTTTATTTATCATTCTATTTCTCCTTAAATTTATCTTTTTAAAATTTCATAATCTTCTAATAAGAAACCTCATTAACATTCACGTTACCAATTTTTATTAAGGGTTAATTTTTCATATTATTTGACTAAAAAAGGAATGCAATATAAGGGCATCTACAACTAAATGTGATTCGCCCATTTAGAGCTCCGACGAGCGTCCACCTGAACAGCAAATAAAAAGGCATTTTTATGTTTTATCTAGACTGTGAACAATGCGACGAGTTGCACTATTTAGAACCCCATTTTTTATTTTTTTAAATTATAAAATTATCCTAAAATTATTAAATTTTAACATTTTGATCACAAATAATTAGTTTAACTTATGCTACTGATTTTCTAATTTTAATATGTTTAATTTTTATGTGATTAATTTATTTAAAGTAGTTTTTCATTTTAAATAATTAAAAATGCAATAGCTGGACCATAGTGGAACACCTATTATTCTCGAAGCTATAGCAGATTATAATATTTGAATATGGCATGCTTATACAATGATATCAATGTGTTGGAGTCTTCTCATCTATTCTCCAATCTCACTCAAACTATTCAAGAGCCACGTAGTCCGAAGAAATAATATTTTGCAAGGAAACAAGAAGCATGTAGAAAAGACGTAAAACGTGGCTTTGGAGCTCTCCAATCACGTTTCACAATTGTCGCAGGACCGGTAGCTTTTTGGAGATAAGATGTGCTACATGACATAATGATTACATGCATAATTTTGTATAACATGATAATCGAGGATGAACGTGATCTCAATGCACTAGTTGAAGTTACGAGAGAAGCATCACGTCCGGAGGTCAAAAAGATGATGGATGATAATACCTGATTTCAATAATTTAGCGCTCGCCATAAACAAATCAGGGATAAAAATGCTCACACTGCACTTCAAAATGCATTGATTGATAATTGTAGGAGCAGTATACTAATTCTGATTTCTAGTTATATGTATATTTTTTTTTCGTTTCAATTTTTTATTTTTTTATTTTATTGAGTATTTGTATTTTGAATTAATCTATCAAGAATTATTTATTTATTTTTTAAATAAGTGGGTCTAATTCAAAAAATTAATAAATATAAGAGTTTGATTGAAAATAAATATAAAAATAAAGATGATAAAGAATATATACAAAACATTCTTTTTTTGTGTTAGAAATGGAGTTCGGTTGGGGATGGATCACTATTTAATATGACTTCTACTACATTTTGAAGTGGAAAATAAAATTTTTAGTTGGAGATGCCCTAAAAGGAATGCTTTAGGATTGTTTCGATGAATGTACAGCAATACAAGTGAATTTTTTTTTTAAGTAATCAATGTAGTGTAAAGTCCAAAAATTATAGTGGCCAGCGAGGGCAGGGCGGTAAGCAGTAGGCGGTCGGTGGGTGATAGCATCAGCCAGCAGTTCTGATAGCCGGCAGTTGCGATGGTCGGTGGTGGCGGTGGCGGTGGCGGTGACGGTGACGGTGGGGGCGGCCGATGGTGGTGGTGGCGGTGGGGGTGATCAGTGGGGGAAGCCAACGACGATGGTGGTCGGCGACAGGTGGTGGTGGTGGTGGCAACAACAAACAATGGTGGTGGCCGATGGTAAGCTGTGGCGGCACTTGTTTAAAATTGCACAATATGAGGCTCACCTTGAGGCCTGTCTCAGCGCAATTCCAATAAAACACACATTGAGGCTTATGCCTCAAACTTTTTTATGAGGCTTGCACCATAGCTTAGCTGAGGCCGCCCTTAAGGCACACCACGCCTCGTTGGTATATTGCTCCTGCGACAATTCTTATATTGTTAAAACTTACCTAAATCCTAAACTAAAGTCCCAAACAAATCACGCTTTAATGCACCCCCAAGCTGCAACGACTTTCTCTCGACTGCCTTGACCGCCAGCCCTCCATTTTCTTCATAGTCACCACCATCGTAGTTGTCGCCGAGGATCACTTGACACCCGCATACCACCACCACCTCCTCTAAAATTTTAAGAATAATAATCTCATATTTAAGTTCATATAAAATATTTATGATAGAAGAAGATGACTAAAATAAATAAAAGAAAATTGGAAGGCATTGGACTCCATAAGATAAGATAGGGGAGAGACCAATTTATTATGATGATGACTAAAATAAAAAACCCCTCAATAATGACAGTGCAGATGATTTCTAAGTTTTTGTCAATTATTTTAGTTTTTTTTAGGAATTAAATGTGGTTGAATAGGGAATTGAGAAAGAAGAATTTGGAGTTGAACTTGATATTATATGATACTTTTTATGCAAGGTTCTGAAAACTGGACCGGACAATGAACCGAAAGAAAGAGAGGTTCACGGTTCGACCGGTCGAACCGGGGTCGAACCGGGGTCGAACCGAATGACGTAATAAATAATATTATTATTATAAACAAATAATAAAATTAACAAAATAATGAAATATAATAAGTATATAATTTCATATAAATTATTGTTAATTTATATTACATGTTTGGATTTAATTTATAAACATAAATTATTTAAAAGCTCATAATATAAAATTATAAATATAATTAAATATTATTATAAAAACTAATTAAAAAAATTGTTTAAAAAAAATAATACAAAACTATACAAAGCATAAAACTATGAAACTAAAGATGGGTCTTTGCTTTGTATGGTTTAGTCTCACATTGCTTGGAAAGATTTGCTTTGCATAGTTTATATAACTTTTTACTTTCTCTCATGCTAAGAGCTCATTTGGAGAAATGAAGACATGAGGTTGTTCAACTTAATATTTAATCATGTACTTAAAATTAATTTAAAAGTTTTATATTAATTGATTAAGATTAATATTTATTTAATATTAAATAATTTATTTAATTATTTATATTAAAATTTTTTGAACCGGCCAATTTTAAGAAACCGGGACCGGTTCGGCGGTTCACCGGTTGAACCGGCGGTTCTAGCCCAAACCGGC